TTTTATAAATATTATGTAACGTAAAAACGTTTCTAAAATAAAATAAAAAAGGAAATGACAAAAACCGACAACTAATTATTTAAAATATAGGATTGTCTCTGGCTGGACATAGGATGAAATAAAGTAACTACATAACCCATCTACTTCTTTTTTTAACATAACCCGTTTAGTAACCTTTTGTGTAACATTTATACCATGTTTCGGAAACATTTTTAGTGAAATTTTTAACTAAATTATTTCAGAAATATTTCAGAAACTTGTGCTTGGAATGTTATATGTTTGAAATATTTTTGAAACACTTCTGAAGTAATGTGTGCTGCATGTGTAGAGATAATACCTACAGAACGGTAGACTAGTATTAAATTCCATATTTAAAAATTATTTTCGAATATATAGGGTGTTCAATAACATCAAACTAAAACAAAATTCTTTGGATGCGCATTAACGAAGAAAAACTTTGACACAAAAAAATTAATTTCCAATTGTTTCTTTTGCAGCTTAGACGTGAATCCTTCTGATACTTTTTTACCTGTATGTCATTAAAATAAACTTTTTCAAAAAACTTCCAAAATAAATCCAATACGTTCCTGCCTAACTTATCTCACGCAATTAAATTACAATAAATGGGTACACAATAATCATCAATAATAAGAAATACGAAAAAAAAATTTAATAAGATAAAAACATAAACAGACGTTTTGTTTTCCTGTCTTTATACAGATAAGGAAAGTATAGGAATAATGATTTTTTTTCCACCTTAAGTTTTCGACGGATTTTTACGTTTTTGGGTCCCCTAAATTCGTTTTAAAATATCTGGGTGGTTTATAGAGGGTCGTTTTTTTGTTTTATGTAATATTTATCTTATTTGAAGACATGAATGGATAAAGGGCATATGTCGCATTTTTTGTGTGTTATAGGTTTAAAAAATGGTAAATAATTTTCCTACAATGTCTCAGCAAAATCTAATAATAATCATAAGAATATTCAGAAGATAAAGGATCTATGTACAAAAAAGTTTGACAAAATTTTATTGATAAAGGATCTATGTAACATATGCCTCATTTTTTTTAGACAAACTTACAGATAATTTATTCATTGGGTAAAAGGCATATGTACAAATGAATGTTCATAGGCCCCTCATCCATTGAAAACTGATATTGTTATATTTGTTTCTCATTGAAAGCAGTGCCTGTGTTTTAACAATTGTCAACAGGCGTGTATCTTCCAGGCACACATTAATATTTTTACTTGTTTTTTCTTGTAAGTTTCAGTCTGTATTTAGCACCTATAAATATATGAGGCCCTTATCCAGTTAAACGGATTAGTGGCTAAAGAGCTTTTGTTAAAAAATTAAACGTTTTTTTAGGTTAGATTTTATATTACAAAAATGTTTTCATTAAATACACATCTATAGGAATTAAGCTGTTTTGTTATAGCCATTCTGTGTTAAATTAAGCATAAAAAACTTTAAACTGGTTTTTCTCGAAAAGAACATACAAGCAGATAGGGCCTTCATCCATTCATGTCTTTATTTACACGTGGAGAAAAAAATTCTTTAAATAAAAGTTGTTGCGATATGATTCTCTATAATTTTGGTTTCATACATGATTTCTCTAAACTGGACGATAATGGAAAAATAATGCCGATGAATATATGTAAGAAAATGTTTCGAGGAAGATAGTGTGGAAAATGTATGTTTTAGTTCAACCTCTAAATATTTACAGGAGTGATACAAAATAACCGGAGAAAGCCTGTAATAAGTAGACAGGAAAGTCATGTGTTGGATACATTAGATTTTTTAAGTAGCTTAACTTCTCAATCACGGTCTCAAAACTTTTTTGTTCATCAGTGTACCGTTAGAGGCCTCCTTGGAAACTAGGCGAAAACAAAGAGACCTTAGTTTGTTATTTAATATTATAAATTGTAGAAGTAATTGTCCTGAACTTCTTGAAAAAATAAATCTTCTTGTTCAAACTCGTTTAACTAGGCAACTACAAACATTTTATGTACCTTTTTATAGATCAAACCAGGCTTTTAACAGCTGCATTCCAAGAATGCTTAGATTAGCTAACTTTGCACAATGATCTCAGGCTGTTCAATATTCCATTTTCATCATTCAAAACTCAATTACGTAATACTGAGCTTTAATGTTAATGTTTTACTGTGTGTTTTCTCTATTTTAACCTTCGACTAACCTATGTTATTATTATTTTCTAGTTTGCATGACATGTATGATGTCTTTGTGCAACAGCACCATAACTATTTGTGATATTTTAATTAATTTTATAATTGTAATTTGTAATTGAAATGGGCTTGCCCGTAAATAAATAAATATAATTTTGTTGGAGGGGCTCCGCAAAGAAACGGGAGGGACCTAGCAAGAGGGTAGAGCAAGGAGGAGTTTCAAGAAGGTTCCGTCACCAAAAAAGTTTGAGAACCGCTGATCTAAAGGCAATGCCCCCCCCCCTCCCCCGAAAATTCGTCTTGGAGCCGCCCTTGGCTAGGTTGATGCGAAAATTTTACAATATGTAACAGTATTATATTTTTAACCGCTAAAATCAAAAGCAACGCTGAGTCAGTAATGCTTGTCTGCTGTAAAGATGAGCATGTTCCTTTCAGTGATATATATTATTTCTGGTAATTTTTTTGCTGCTATGGGAATTCCAGCAAAAAATTCTTATGAAACTTTCCTTAGATGATCCTGAACTACTTGCAGAAACAGAAAATATTAAGAAAATCTTTAAAAGAAATGTTTCACAAGGCAAGATATGGGAAGGCAGGACCAAAGCCCATTTTATGTTTAGTATATTCTACATCCTGAGCCTTGTTTTGTTTTAAAATCGTCTATTATATCAGAGCAACCTCCTTGATGTAAATATTAAGAGTGAAACTAAGAATGACTTCAATGGCTCTGGTTGGTGGTTTTCGTGACTACTGTTATGTATACACCTACTAATCATTTGTGGAAAATTCTTGTTGGTTAGTGAGTGTATTATTTTGGGAAAAGTCGTCTTGTCAAAAATCAAAAACTAGGTGAAAGGCTGAATTAGTATATCTGCCTGAGTTGTTGATTTGGGTATAGTGGTGTTGGTGTTGTTGTTGTTGTTGTAATCACCACGCATATTTTATGTATTTGTTGCATACCCTTTCCAATGTCTTCATTGAAAATGATGTCAGGTTAAATTGGCCAGTATGTTTTTGAGACAGTGTAATCCATCTTTTCCGGTTTGAGTATGAGGACCACTTTAACTCTTTCCATTTTTCGGGTAAATACCTCAACAAGGATATGGATAAATTTACCAGGTGTGGTGTGAGTTCTTCCAAACCCTACTAGAATAGGGCTGGCGATTTAAATGGAGAGAAGCTAGATATTGCTCATCTAATATTTTCTTAGTCTGCAGTTTGCCAATCGTAGACAGATTGGTTGTATTCTTTCTTTGTCCAGTCAGCCACGTCAGTAATAACCGAGTTAGGAAAATGTATTGATAGCAGATGATTGATTCTATCTTCGACGTTTTTGTATTTTCTGAGGTGAGATTTGGGATTGGATTTCTGGATATGAATTTTATATGAATAAAAAGTTAATTTTTTTTTGTTTTTTAAAATTTACGTAAAATCAAAAGTTATTTCGCCTGACTGGTTTTGAAATGAAAGCACTGTATAACTGGTTATATCGTGTAAAAACATCCTATGACATCTCATACTATTTATTACTGGTATAAGATAAAAACCGAGACTAATTGAAATGTACAAGGTGATCCGTTTCAAAAAAAAACATAAATTTATTCTAGTTTCCAGACTGAAGTCAATAAATACCCTAATTTTAAAATTTGATATGTTTTTTTATATATGTAATAGAGCCGGCAATATTTAACTTTTTCACACTAATGGATTACTTTGCAAATAAATCGTGAAAGCAAAAAGAAATTATTGAATTAATTTTTTTCTGAAAGGAGAAAGTAAGGATAAGCTTCAAATGAATCTCGAACTGATATGTATGTACTGCCTCTTTCCCATAAGAAAAAGTTAGAAAAACGAAATAATTTTCAAAGATTAAGGAAATTTTACAAAAAAATCTTTCTTTTTTTCAACATTTATGTGATGAAAAGAAAATAAAAACGCCCTCTTAAAATTAGAAGAACACAGCTACGTCATCATTTGGAAAAGTAATTAATTGACTATTGCCGCCTAATGGGGGTTTAGTGGAGTATTAATATTATAGGAATTATGATGGTGGGTGAGGTTTTCCGGGTTTTCCTCACCTGTAAGTCAAATGGCACCATCAATCATCTTTAAGTCGCCCCGGAGCGCCACGGCAAATAATAATAATAATAATAATAATAATAATAATAATAATAATAATAATAATAATAATAATAATAATAATTAATAATAATAATAATAATAATAATAATAATAATAATAATAATAATAATAATAATAATAATTAATAATAATAATAATAATAATAATAATAATAATAATAAATAATAATAATAATAATAATATCCGTCCCTTCCCCTACACAAGTCGTTCAGTCGACTTCAGGGGTTGAAATTCACTCGTAAGGGGGTGAATTAGGGAGAGTATTATTATTATTATTATTATTATAGGAAATATTGTTTTACACCTAACAACTTACTTAATTTTTGTTTGTTGAAAGTTATAGATAATATGCATTCGAAATTGGAAGTAATGGTTATGACGTAGCTGTGTTCTTCTAATTGTATCCGGACCCTATTACCTCATATGAAATTTAATTAATACTAGTTTTAAATGAATAATTTAACGACATTTTTCATTTTAAAAACACCTTCACACGTAGAACTCATTGTCGTACTTATATGAAAAAAATATGGAAGAAATTTTAAACCATTAATTTTGTTTTCAACACCCGGTATTTCCTAAACCATCAACATTCGGATCAATGGAAATTATTTGACCCGTAGTATCTACATTTACGAAGCATCTTGTATTTAATAAAAAAATGTTTTTTTTAGTAGTGGACAGCAAGAAAGTAAAATGCTTCGAAAAAGGTCATTTCTACCGGGATCCCGACAGACCTGCGCACAAAATGTGGACCCCGGATGAATGTTCAAAATATTTTTTATGCTTGGAAGGCGAAGTCTTCGATTTCAAATGCTCCACCGGCCTTCTGTTTGACGTGAACAGACAAATTTGCGATTTCAAACTCAACGTGGATAATTGCGATCTAACTGCAGGTAAAAACACTTTCTTTTATAACATTTGATAGAACTGTATATATTTAAAATGAAACAACAATCCCTATTGAGAAAAGTAAACCAAACTGAATTTACGCATTATGTCACAAGAGTACTAGTGAGATGGCGCACAAAGTGCCTTTGCAGGTACATTTTAGCCATTTCATGTACTTGGTTTAAAATCAGGAGAAATTTAAATTTCAGAAACTCGATAATAAATAGGTAAATCAAATTTACTCTTCCGTTATATTCCTAAAGGTGGTACCTTACCACTTGAAATAATACATTTGAAATGTTTTACCATATACGGAGGAAGTCCAAAAATAGGACTTAGGACGGAGTTACACTTATTTTTAAAAATATGGAACCAATAGACGAAGCGAGGTTATTGATATTACCCTTGGTTCTTCCTTCGTTTCAAATCACATTGGCAAGCGGTACGTGTCTAAAGAGTCTTCGCTCTCAGATCATCGGCATATTCTCATGGAAATCAACAATGTCGATAAACCAGGACATTTATACCGAGACCCACATAAAACCGATTGCTTTGGATACGGGGTAGAGTGGGGGCAGTGTTCAAAACCGTTAAAATAACTTTTAATACTAAAAATGATATAGATGAACTTGAAGAACAACTACGGGACGCAATCATAACATCATATCACAAAGAACAGGAAAAATTTTAAGGAGGTGAGCTGGTGGAACACCAAACTCGCCAAACTCAAAAGGAAAACACATAAAACTTTTTAATAAGGCTAAAAAGACGAAACACTCACAGAGTGTAACAAAACTCTTAGGAAATCTAATCTAATGGAGAACATTCTGTCAGGAAATTGAAAATACAACTGAAGGATACAGACTTCATCGCATTCTAGCAAAAGATCCAATAAACCCTGTGGGGACTTTAAAAACCTAAACAGGGGAATACACTAAAACTGGAATGAAAACATTAGAACTACTTCTTAAAACGCATTTCCCTGATTGCACAACAAACCCGAATGCAGCAAACCAAACCCACACAATCTGGAACTATCAAAAAAGAGTTTCCTGCCAAGAATGGGAAACTGCAAAACGGATAGTCACAACACAGAAAATAATATACGCAATACGCACGTTCAATCCATATAAATCACCGGGACCATAAGGGGTGTTACCTGTTCTTCTGCAATAGGCAATATAAACACTGGTCCGCATATTTGTAGACTTTACAGACAGGGCAAGTTTGGTGCATAAATATGTACCAAATACCTGGAAACAAAGCAGAGTTGTTTTTGTATCTAAATATACCAAGATATGCCGTGGCAAAGGCCTACAGACTCTGACGTCATTTCTATTGAAAGGATTAAAAAAACTGATTGATCAGCATGTCCGGCAAACCACTCTGATAGAGAGGCCATTTCATACAAAGCAACATGCCGATCAATCAGAAAAATCTTGTGAATTTGTTCTGCATCATCTTGAAGATAGAAGAAGGACTCGATAGACAAGAAATAGTCCTAGGAGCATTTCCTGACATAGAAGGAACTTTTGATAATACCTCCTTTAAATCAATGGTAGCTGCCGCTCGCAAACATGGAATAAAAGACACTGAGATAATAATAGGATGATTTGTGGGTTAAAAACCAACGGCTGTATCGTAAAAATACAAAATTTTCAACTTTTCATAAATAGAAAAGTTCTGCACAGACCGAAAATTAAACAAGAAATAATTATACAGTTTTTATTTGGTTCTACGTTGAATTAGCGGTTTGGATTTACATGTATTATATTCTACTCGTTAAGTCCGGACCTGAATGTGCAGCGCTAAAATAGTGTTTGCCAGTTATTAGTCGTCTCTAGTCTTTCTCACTTTAAAGAACAGAGTCAGATATACCAAGATGTCCACCCTCCTAGTGTCTCGGGCCGCTCCCCCCTGAATATGCAATTGTTTAGCCCGAGCGTTAGATGACTGTTAACTCAAAATACTAAGAAAATAAGACGAAAAAGAGTATTGTAGCGAGTATGGTGAATATAAAAGATATCTACATATTTGGTTTCCAAGATATTGGCATTGAAAACTTCAAAAACAATTTTACCCCAATATAAATTCTTTCTTTTGACCCAATATCATATAATTCGATAATTTTCACTTAATTTGCTTTTAGAGGCGGTCATACCGAAACCTTTACTAGAAGAAGCCGAATGCAAAGATGAGTCCCATCTTGGTTGCGCCGATGGCACTTGTTTGCCGCAAGAATACTTTTGTGACGGATCACTAGATTGTCCAGATGGTAGTGACGAAGGTCATTGCGATAGCCGTGATGATCCGAACGGCGCAAGTTTTTGTGACCCTGCTAAATGCACGTTACCACACTGTTTTTGTTCCAAAGACGGTAAGAAACGTTTTTAAAACATATATTTGTAGGTATGCGAGAAGCTCTCACTTAATATCAAAATATCGAATGAATAATTCAATCGTAATTCATTTTATGGTAATAAACTTTCGTTTTCAAATAAATTATAATTAACTATATTAAGTACGTATATAAATTACAAATTTGATAATAAATTATAATATGCTAACTCTTGTTTGCGATTTTTTACGCGAAGACATATTTCTACTCTTTTCTGGTGCGCAGTCGGGTTATTTTAAAAAGATTATTTATTTATGTATCGTACTTTTCGTTTTTTTGATCAAAATCTGTGTTAGACTTGGAGCAATCTGTTCTAAGCACTCTAAACTTTGATATGACGAATATGAAGACAAAGACTGATTCTTAGGCTTCCGAGTTATTGATATGTTAAAGGATCGCACACGTTTTGAAATGCAGCCAATATTACTAATTATTAATTGTGAAAAAAGAAAAATTATCTGTGATCGAAAGTATACTTATATTTTTTACTGCTTCAATGACAATTAGTAGTATTATATTATTTTTCACAAATAAATATTTTATTGTTTTTAGGTACAGGCATTCCACTTAAACTTCTACCTTCGACGATACCTCAAATGATCACAATCACTTTTGACGATGCCGTTAATGAGGACAATTGGGATCTATTTAACAGAGCATTATTCTTTAAGCAGTACAAAAATCCCAATGGCTGTCCAATCAGAGCAACTTTCTTTATCAGTCACCAGTATAATAATTATTTCTATACTCAAAAACTTTGGAACGATGGACATGAGATAGCCATACATTCGATAACGTAAATATTTATTTTATTAATGATTTTCATATCTTTTTTATTAGAAAAACTTGTTACTATTAGTGTACTAGGGTTGCCAGAGTACTAAAATGTACTAACTTCATGTTACTAGTTATGAATACAACCTCTTTGGAAATTTGAATTGAATTTCAAGAACCTGATGTTTATTTGTTATTTTCTAATAATTTTCTATTTCAAATCATCTTCTTTCGCTTATTCTTCCTGTTCTTTTTGTTTTTTTTTCTGTCTAGTATTTTTGGTATATCAATTGTTACTTTTCCTTAAAACTAATACTTTTTCCCAAAATCGTTATAGACACAGAGGTCCGGAAGAATGGTGGTCATACAATGCAACAATCGAAGATTGGTTCGATGAGATGGTAGGCCAAGCCAACATTTTGAACAGATTCTCCAAGATCAGAATGGAGGACATCAGAGGCTTGAGAGTTCCGTTTTTGAGAATCGGTTGGAACAGACAGTTTCTGATGATGAAAGAATTCGGTTTCGTCTATGACAGTTCAATGGTGGCTCCCTTCTCCAATCCACCGTTGTGGCCTTATACCCTCGACCACAAGATTCCGCACCCATGCGTTGGTAAGTAGATTTATTACCCTTCTTATTTTCTTCTAAGATGGCAAATTGTTCCAAAGCCTAGGCTATTCTTTTAAACACTTGCACAAGAATAAGAAATAGAAAATAAAAAGAGGAAAAATAAAAGTAATGGTAGATATAGATAAAAAGGGCAACAAAGGAAGAGGAATAAGAAAGTTCTTAATTAGAATAAGGAGAATTAGAATGTATAACGAAAGAATAGTAAATAAAGTAGTAGTTATAATTGATCTTTTTTAGGTATAAAACAAGCGTGTCCAACAAGGTCCTATCCAGGTCTTTGGGAATTACCTATGAATCAGTTAGAGACCAATGATTTTACCTGCGCTATGGTGGATTCTTGTCCAATCACCGTATCCGGTAGCGAAATATTCCAAATGTTGATGCACAATTTTAAGAGGCACTACATGAGCAATCGAGCACCCTATGGGTTGTATTTTCATTCCTCTTGGTTTAAAAATCCCAGTTATCTCTCTGCCTTTCAGGTAAGTCTTATACACGTAGAAAAAAAATAATTTTTCTAAATTATCATTTAATTATATTTTTAAAACAAAAAAAGTGCTTCAATTTACTTGAATTTTGGATGTAATATTCTAATTATATGAGTTAAAAGAAAATAGTAGAGTCAGAAACAAAAATGAATAGAAAAAGAAAAAATTGAAAATAATATTTGAAAAAAAAAAAGAAAAACTAGCTATAACCTAGCATACTAAAATTTATCTAAATTAATAGTATCGAAAACGTATTTTTCTTTACTTGCGGTAGTACGGTCGTTCCAAATTTTAAAACTACATCCAAAACTCAAATATCTCCAAACTTGATCATTCAAAAACCTTTTCACATGATATTATTCTTCTCCTTGCAAGCCTTGATGGCATCGTTAAACCCTTGGCACAAATTTATATCGCTGTGAGTAGCAGCGCAATCCAAAAATTGTTTAATCTCCTTCGCGCAAGGTCCAACAGGCTCTTCGTACCTTTGGTCTTGTTGATGAGATCCTCCACCAAACATCCCAGACACAGCTCGACCAACGGCGTGTCCCACGGCTGATCCCACTGCTACACCACCAGCGGTTGCAGCCATCTGCCCGAAGACACCTGGTTGGGATTTTTCTTTGGTCGAACTTGGTGGATGGGCTGGCATTGAAGAGTAGCTTCTTTTGTTGCTGTAAGACGGTGATTTGTTTCGCCGAGGCATTTTTTTTTATTGGTGGTACTTTGAAATTTTGTTTAGGAACAAAGTGACATTTACGAAAATTTTGACAGGTTAACCTAAATGTCAATGTTGAAATTTGACTTTTCAAATTTACTGGTTTTAAAATACGGGGTGAAACAAATCAATTAGGTACCGCAGTAAATTTTAAAGATATTAAGAGCCATTTGCACCACTAGTCGTTAAGAACTAAGTGAAGCTTAAAGTGACATTGTTAACGGAAAAATGTCAGTTTAAGCTTGGCTTCAAGAGGTGCAAATGGACCTAAGTAATTTTTGGTAATTATTTACAGAATTTCATCTCAGAAGTATTAAAGTACCCAGACGTATGGTTTGTAACCAACTCCCAAGTAATAGAATGGATAAAAAATCCGAAAACATTGGACAAACTCGCCACTTTCGACCCCTGGAAGTGTAAAAAGTACTTGAACAGGTCTGAACTAGCGTGCAGTCTACCAAACGTGTGTAAGCTCTACAGCAGAGTGTTTCAACAGGATAGATACTTGCAAACTTGTGCTGAGTGTCCTCAGAAGTATCCGTGGATAAGAAACGAATTCGGAACTGATTGAATTGCGTGTAATGAGAGACTGAAATTTTTAATTTATTGTTTGTTCTAAATGATTTTTTGCTCAATACGAATTGTTAGCGTAGTCGCGTACTGATTTTTGGTGCCAAATAAATGTTCCTAATGTTCATCTTTTTTTATTTATTTACATATTACACCCTGTATTATATTTATTCGTGTGATATTAGTGCTCTGTATACAGGTAAGGAAAGTATAGGAATCATGATTCAGGGAAGCTCGAAACGTAAAAAACCGTCGAAAACTCGAGGTCGAAAAAATTCATGATTCCTATACTTTCCTTATCTGTAAATGGATATATAAAAAAGTAATAAATAAAAATATATACAAATAAATAAAAAAATAAATAAAAAATGAAAATAAATCAAAATTAATAAAAAAAAAATAAAAATTAATGAACAAAAATTAATAAAAATTAATAAAAATTGATAAAAATCAAAAATTAAAAAGTAATAAAAATTATTAATCATGTATTTTTTGATATTATAAATGGCACCACGCGGCTAAGCCGCGGGCAACAGCTAGTTTAAACATAATTTTATTTTGTGGTTGTAGTCTTTTCAATGGGACAAATAAAAGCAAAATTCAAAATGTTTTATTTTAAAAGTAGATATTCCATAAAAATCTAGAACTTTAATAGGTAATGGGACACCTTTCCGAAAAATCTAGAACTTAAACATCGCTGTTCCGGTAAAACAACGACGCAAATGCAAAATTATAAATTATAAATATTATTACTTCCAAATTTGAGCACATAAATCACAAAGAACTTGTCCTAAATAGCAAATACAACATTTAACCATAGACTAAGTAATGTCTCCCTTAAATTTGCAGACACAACTGATTCATATGTCATTGTTTTTCAAAAGTGGAGGGGCAAACATTAATATTTGAAAATTGAAGTAACTACCATTTAGATGGCCGGGAGTGGATAAAAAATTTCGCCGTTGTTATACCGTATAGAGAGACTAATTTGGAAACTAATGACATGTTAAAATCAAAATGTCACAATTTTGCACTTGCGTCATTGTTTTACCGGAACGGCGACATGTTATGGGCCTAGGCACCTGGGCGAACTAATTATTTATATTTTTTCTTCAGTGAAAACCAAACTTCTGCTAATATAATATATTTAGGGTACATGTACTTTAGGCAAAGTAAATAAAGAATTATTCATTGAGTAAAAAATAATTCTCTCATAAAATTAAATTATTATTTTAATTTTTCTTATTCAAGTTTAGTCTATTTAAATATATCTACCATTCTAGCTACAATTAACTCCTCAGCTCGTTTAGAGGACCATAGGCAAACCTAAACGCGGCAGTATTTGAAACTAGAACATTCCGAATCCAATGAGGACTTTTATAATTTTTTGAATATATTTTTTTTTAACAGCTTTGCAGGTTGGCGCAGGTGCCATTTGGTAAAGTACGATGTTGTTACATGCCATTGGAGTATATTTCATTTCGTTATCAGATGACGGCCGAAATTTGCAGTGGGCTCTCTTACTAATAAGTATACAGCACAAAATGTGGCAGTATTCATGTTCGTATTTTCTTAGTTGTCGATAAAGGTGCGATTGCACATCGAAGCCCTCTTCATCAATATCATCTTCAAAGGGACTATCCTCATCTATTTTTGCTTCTACAGCAATGTGGGTCACACCCTCATCCTCAAAGGGTGCTGAATTGGAGCATGACTGGCCGTTGCAGTTGAGGTATATTATTGAATATTTCATGGCTACTTTTCGGCATCTGGACTTCCCTGTACACTCCTTCATAAATTTACAGGACACTGTGTCCATCCTTATCCAACCTCAGCTGAGAGGATCCTTTGGTCTATCCTACCAGCCCTGGATTTGAAGGTACATCCGCAGAATGTGTTGAGTGGCGGTTGCAATTGTAGGAGAGAGGCCATGTAAGTTGGCTTTGTTAGGAATTAAAAATATCTCTTAGTAGATTTTGTCTAAATTCATCTCCGTTTTGATTAAAAATTTTAAACTTTTCCGAAAGAAAAAATACAACTGCTGAAATATTAGTAATTTTATCAAAATAACAATAACAAATAAGAAAGATTGGAAGTCTTATTTTAATGTTATCAGACTTTTGTGTATTTACCATATGTATAATTATCCAATTCATTAACTACAGGGTGATTTAATAAATATATTGATAGTTAATTTATCGAATGTGAAAAAACAAAATTTAAGTACCTATACTTTTTGATTAGTCCTGAAAAAGTATACTTATTTTTTCACTGGCGTATCATCCATCCTGTAAAAGATATTTTCCAAAATTATAGCCTTTTTCTATGAAATGAAATAAATAAATCACTCTTTTTTATTACCAGTTACTACAGGAAAAAACAAATCAATTACAATTTTGTGTATCTAATATTATTGTAACATCCTTTGTCACTCCACGAATATACACAGGAGTCTCTACAGGGTGAATCGTAAATAAGTAAGGACATGTTTTTTGATCATTGTTTTCAAAGTTGAAAATATGTACAAAAAATTAATTACTGCTATATTTATCATTGTTAATGAAAATACAAAAAATTTTAGGCGCCATTTATATGATTCGTTTTTTTTTTTTTTAAATAATTGTGAGACTCAATTATTTAGTTGACTTTTATGTATTTGTTATAATATTAACATGTGTATAACTGTCCAATTTATTCATTACATGGTGATTTAAATTGTTTTTTGACACATTCGATAAATTAACTATCAATATATTTAATAAATCACCCTATAGTCAATGAATTGGATAATTATACATATGGTAAATAGACAAAAGTCCCGTAAAAATACTGGGTTTCACTTTAATACTTATAAAAAAATATATATAAATATATATTTTGAAACTGATACAGGTTTTTTAAAAACAATTTTATTGATTAAAATTACAAACGTCTTTTCTTGGCAAAGGCTAGACAAAATCTGATTTAATAAACTAGAGAATTAATGTAAAAGATTAAAATAACAAGCTAAGCACTGAAATATAATATGATACGATAAGGAGTCCGAATGTCAGCTGTATACGCTCACGTAACTCCTCCGTCCTTAAGACGCAAAAATAAGGGAGTTATTTTTGCGGTCCGAATTTTCTGGAATTTCCTCCATGTTGAGGGCTTCTTTTTCTTTCGTTTTTGAATTTTGGCATCTTCTTCTTACAAAAATGTATAAAAATACCATTATACATAAAATTATTAACGTTGAAAATATTGTTAATATTGGAATTTGGTAAGAGTCCTTTGGTTCATCTATTGGCGATAGCTGATTGGCGATTCTATTGATTTCGTATAGGTTGTCGAAATTTATTTTACTGATATTTGAAGTTTGATAATTTCTTCGAATTTTAAAAAGTTCAATTTTGAGTTTTGGTAGAATTAGCGTTTTTCCCTTTTGAATGTCTTGTTCATTTGAAAATGTAAAATCTCTTGACGTGATTTTACAGCCTTCTGGAATGCGAATAAGGGTTGGATTCTGAATTTTGAAAATTTGGTTACTTCTACAATACGACTTAACGTTTTCTGGTTCTTTGGGAACAATCATGATTTGATTGCTAGCAACTTGTTCGAATATTGATTCTTGCAAATTTACTTCAGTGGCGTAGCATTCTTCTGGTAACTGGCCGTCGAGAAGTTGTAAAGTACAGTTATCCCTCGGGATAAAATCTTGTAAACAATAGTAGGTATTTTCAAGTTTTGGGCATTCTTCTTTTTTCAATTGGACTTCTTCTTTGTTGCGTGCCAAGTATGGGTATGAAGGTGTGAACATTTTATTATTTTGGATAACGGGATATATTTGATAAAATTCTAAGGATTCGACTTTTGAGATAGGGACGTGGATAGCAAAAATTAATTTTAATTTGGAGAAGGTAACTTGAGTACCAAGAAAGGTATAGTATGTTAAGATATTATTAAAATTTGGAATTTCTTGTTTTTTGTAAATTTTCTGTAAATATTTTATCATGTCTGAAATTTCATAGCTCGATATTATAGAGCTGTGCAGAGTGTTCATTTTGGAAAAGAGAATTGCATTTTCAATATTGTCTATAAATGATATTAAATTTTGACAGTCAAGGTTTATTTGGCTTATTGTTCCTTGAAAGGTTATATATCTGCTTAAAGAGTCAATTTCGTTATATATTGCGTCTTGGAATCTTTTTAAATTATCGTGAAGTTTTTGTTGATTTTTCCATAATATTGTTAATGATTGATTATAATGATCTATCAATTTTTGAAATAGTGAAGTTTGTAAGTTAATTTCGTTTGTTATCTGTTTTTGATTTCCCTGCAAAATTTTAATGGCACTGTCATAGCGGTCTCCATCATCAGAGTCGAGGTTGCCAAAAAGCCACTTATTGACTTTTCCAACCCCGTTTATTATACCTCTTTTTGAACGCATATGAGGATATAAATTTTGAAATTTTCTTCCTAAGGA